GTCCTCGGAGAACCGGTGGGGTCGCTTTGCTTCCCAGAAGTGTGCGGTGATGCTGCAGTCTCTCTGTTCCTTTTCTGGAAGGTTGGGATCAGAACTTAGCTCATGTCTACTTGAATGTCATACATTTCCTGGGGCAGATCACACATTCCAGAAATACCAAAAAAAACCCAACAACAATTGCTGTGTGTGTTAGAGGAGCACTGTGCTCCACAGGGTAGTCAATGGCTGGGTTTTGGGCACCTCTGGGGGGACACAAAGTTCCAACCTTTCATTTACTGACCAGGCATGTTAACCTATTGTATCACCCAGGGATCCCACTGCTTAAAGGACCCAAAGAGCGACTGGAACTGCTCCTTAGTGTTTTCCAGGCTGTCCTGGTGTGGCGCTGTAGAGCTGCACTTTGGTAGGACTCAGTCTGGCTCCGTGGGAATCCAATGAGATGGGGCTACAAGATGCTATGCATAACCTGCCCAGGCGACTGTTTCATGACCCTCCTCTTGCAGATTCAATATTATGTTGTTCTTGTTAAGTGGAGTCTGTTCTGACTCATAGCGACCTTGTATACGGTTTCCAAGAAGCGGCTGGTGAATTTGAACCACTGACCTTGTGGTTCAAATCGACCTTGCAGTCCAGTGCTTTATTCCGTAGTACCACACCAGGACTACCAGATTTATTATTATTGTTGTTGTTAAGTGCCTTCCAGTTGGTTCCCACCCATAGTGACCCTCAATAGGTTTTCTGAGGAGCAGCTTTTGAAATGCCGACCTTGTAGTTCAAATTTATTATTTGTTGTATTGTTAAGTGCCGTCGAGTCGATCCCGATCGACCCATAGCAACCCTGTGTAGGGTTTCCGAAGAGCAGCTGGTGAGCTTGAACTACCAACCTTGCAGTTCAAATGGCTTTGCAGTCTGGCGCATTAACTCACAGCACCACACCAGGACTCCAAACTTATTATAGGTGCCCATTTTTCAGACTGGCATATTGAAGTCTGGGGAAGTGAAGTTATCACTCCAAGGTTATTGAGTAGGAAGTGGCAGTGAGGGTACTAAGACTCGAGGCAGTGAGTAGCCGAGATGGAATTTGAGCCCAGTTCTGTGGGAAATAAAAGCCTGCCTCCTCCCAGCTCCAAAATCATCATTTCCTGAGTCTCCTGGTTAACCCAGTAACAGTGACTAATGCTTCCTGTGGTTGTTGTTAAATGCCTTCGAGTCAGTCGGACTCATAATATATACATAGGGTTTCTGAGAGGCTGGTGAGTTTGAACCGCCAACCTTGTGGTTCAAACCAGTATTGCAGTACAGTGCTTATCCTACAGTACCACACAAGAGCGCTTATTGTATATCAAGCCCAGTTTTTACCAACTCATCCAATCCTCACCTCAGCCCCAGAAGAAGGTACCACCATTACCCATTTCACAGACAGGAGCATTGAGGTCCAGAGACATAAAGTCTCCTGCCCAAGGCCTTAAGACCAGGGTATGTGCTGTAGCCATGCCAACAGTCCAGACCTTAAGTTACTGTCCATTGTACTGTTTACCATATCAGCAAATGTTAACCCACCATGCTACACTATCCTGTGTGGGCTCCCACAACTGGCATACCTCAGGATGGCCCAGGAGGCCTAACTTCTACCTGGAAGGCCATGAGCTTGAGCCCCACCCCACAGTGCCTTTGTTCCGCCCCATAGCACCCAGGCCCCGCCCCAGGGTTTTCCAGGCTTAAATCCTTTCAAGCTCAAAGCCAGGTAAAGGTGCGTGGAAGGCAGTCTTCTTATTCTAGCATTCTTCTGTGTCTCTGCCCACCAGCCCCTGGGACTTATGGGAGGATCAAGGATAAGCCTTTATTCCCTGTGCTACTGGGGGCGGGGAGCATAATAGATTTGTAGAGTGGGGAGAGGGGCCTGTAGTTTGGAAAATTGCCCACCATGACTACATCCCTAGGTTGTGTGTGTGGGGGTTCCTTTCCCACATCCCCTCTGGAACTGACTCTAAGGGAGTTTAGAACACGCTTGATTACTGATTACTGCTTGTCTGGTAACTAGGCACAGCCAGGTCACCTGATACCAAAGTGCCTTGGTGGTGCAGTGGTAAAAGCACTCAATTGGTTGCTAACTGAAGGGTAGGCTGTTCCAACCCACTAGCCACTCCACCTGGAGAAAGATGTGGTAGTCTGCTTCTGTCAAGGTGAAACCCTTGGAAACCCTATGGGGGAGTCGGACTGTTCTGCGGGTCCCTATGAGCTGGCATGTGAGTTAGTTTGGATTTTTAAAGATACTCAAAGGAGCTTTGGTGTTCTGTTGTTAACTGAAAGGTCAGTGGCTTGAATTTACCAGTGGCTTCATGGGAGAGAAGAGCTGCAGATTTGCTTCCATAAAGTACCTCACAAATCCTATGGGCAGTTAGTTTATCCCATATGGTAGCTAGCTATGAGTTAACCTCGACAGCAGTGGGCTTTTTAGTTTTATACGGTCACTATGAGTGTTGGTCCCTGGTGTGGCGCTGTGGGTTAATGTGCCAGACTGCAAAGTTGTTTGAACTGCAAGGACGGTGGTTCAAGCTCACCAGCTGCTCCTCGGAAACCCTATACAGGGTCACTATGGGTCAGAACCCACCCGATGGCACTTCACAATGAGTGCTGGCCAAGAGTATTGCATCTACCACGGACTGTCAGCACAATGAACAAATGTTTTGGAAGTCCAGCCAGAACGCTCCTTAGAAGCCAGACTTTATCTCACCTCCTTCAGGCATTTATCAGGAGAAATCAGTCCTTAGAGGGTCAGTGAAAAGAGGAAGACCCTCAAGGAACTGGACTGACACAGTAGCTTAGACAATGGGCTCAAAGACTGGGGGGAAGGCTCAGGACCCGGCAATGTTTGGTTCTGTTGGGCCTATGGTGGCTGAGTTGGAACCCACTTGATGAAATGGGTCCTAGGTTAACTGATACCAAATCAGTGCATGCCACTCCCTTCCCCCAAGCAGGTTCACCCAGGATGACCTGTAGGTCTGCCCTTGCTGACAGCTCACCCTGTAGTTCCCAGCTAAGTCCCATCACCTCCTAACTGGGGCCAGTCCTCCCCTGTGGGTTGCAGGCATCTGGGGGAGTGCTCCCATGGGCGGGGGTGGGGTGGGGGTGTAGCTGGACGAATCCTGCCTTCAGTGGCCTTGCAGTCCAGCAGAGCCCTACACAGATCAGTGGGGAATTGCTGATGAGGCCAGGATGAGTCTTCAGAGCAATGAGGAAGGCAGGCTCTTTCCGGGCAGAGCAGAGCCCCCCACCGGAGACAAGAGGGTGGAGCCAAGTCAGGTAGTCACTGTATTTTATTGGAAAACATTGATATATATTTTTCTTCACAGCTTGAACTGAACACAATATTGCCCGGTAAAAAAAAAAAGGAAAAAAAAAACAAAACACCAAACACACAAAAACAAAACCCAAAACACTCCAGAAACGTCCACAGCCTCACGCCTACCTGCCCTTTCTCTCAGCTCGCGGCTGGGTCTCCCACTATGGCCCCCCCTCCTCCCTTGGAGGCTGGGTGACAAAGGGTGGGTGAGAAGATTCACAAAGCTGGGCAGGTCCCAGGAAAAGCCATTTGCTCCAACTGGGCAGTGGGGGTCGGGGTGTGGGGGTCGGGTGGGGTGGGAGCAGATGAGATGAACAGAAGGAAAACAACAAACCCAGACGACTGAACTGCCACATTAACTTACTTGTCCCAAAGGCGAGAGTCAAGCAAGATCAGGGAACATGCTCTCCGCGGGGGTGGGGGATGGTGGGAGTTGGCTGGAGAGGAGGGTGGGAGCAGGCAGGTGGGCTGGGGAATAGGACACAAGAGACAGCACAGATGTGATGAAGCCACCAGGTCGCCATGGAGAAGCGGGAGGAGTCGGCTGACCAGGGAGCAGAGGCTGCTCAGACAGGCTGGCCTCTGGGCCGCGAGTTGGCGCATCTGTTTTTATTGCAAGTCCGTTGAGAGCGAGCTGGGGCACACCTTCCCTCTTCCCACCCTTAAGCTAGATCGGCGTAGTGTAGTTTTGGACAAAATGAAAAAGGTTTAAGAGGGCATAAGAAAGGGGAAAAATAAGGTGAGAGCCAGCACATTACAGACCGACCAGCCCCACATCCTTTCTGATAGTGGGGTAACCACGAGGTGGGGTGGGGGTGAGGGCATGGGATGTTAGCACCAGGTATTTACAGAAGAGCTGGAGGGCGCTTTAGGGACCTGGGCAGGGACGCTTTGCAGGGTGGCCCCGCCCCTAAGACAGACCTCAGAAAGCCAATCACAGGTGGTTTCGGAGGAGCAGCCAATGGGGGTCTCAGCATTGTCTACTCTCCGGCCCTGCCTACCAGATGGCCCTTCCAGTGGTACAACACCAGTTACTGAGACCCCCCCCCCCAATGCCCTGGGACCCCACTGCTGGGCCACATCCAGCGGACACTAGGCTTCTTCCCAGAATGCCTCTTCTGGCCCCGCTGGCCCAGAAGGCTGCTGGGCTTTGCACACGTACTCGCAGGGCTGGTGGGGCATGCCACAGCTCACAGGCCATGCTCTTCTGCCTGGGCAAGGGCTGCGTCCCTCCCTAGCAGATCCCGGGACAGGGCTGGCAGCCACCCCCGCACCCAAAAGAAGATGACAAACGAAAGGAAACAAAATGCAACGGAGGAGAGCCCCCCCGGGCTGGAAGAGGAGGGCAGAGGCTCCCCAGAGGGAATGGAGGTGGGGATTCATTCTATAAACTCGGCAGACCTTGGGTGATGGGAGAGGTGGGGGCAGGAGGGGTGACCGCAGAAGGAAGAGATGAGGGGCCTGGGAGGAGGCTGGGTAGGAAGGAGAAAGAGGAATCATGCAACTTGGGACAAATCTTTTGTTGCTTTATCAGATTCTCAGTCAATCCGTTGGTGTTTGCTAAAACCAGGGGACGTAAGGGGAGTATTGAAGAGAGAGGGCGGCGGCGAGAGGGGAGAGAGATCGAGAGAACGGGCATCGCCAGCTGCCCAGGGCTTCACTTCGCAGTCATCATCTGTACAAACTCTGTGGAGTGAAGACCAGAGGACAGGGTCACGCCGCTGTCCAGGGAACCGTGACCCTCTAATTCTTGTCCTCAGTGACAGAGATGACAAGGACTCACCTTCATAATTGACCTGGCCATCGCCATCGATGTCGGCCTCTCTGATCATCTCGTCCACTTCCTCATCGGTCAGCTTCTCACCCAGGTTCGTCATGACATGGCGGAGCTCGGCAGCACTGATGTACCCGTTCCCATCCTGGGGATCAGGGTGGGCAAGGCTCTGAGCCCCGAGTGCTCTTTGCTCCGCAGGGAGAGGCCATCAGTCACCCTCCCCAGGAAAGGAGAGGGAAGTCCCCGGTAGGGGTCGGGGTTTCTGGAGACTGAGGAGCAGTAGCAATGGGGCTAGACTAGAGCCCAGACCTCCAGATGATGGTGGTCCCGCCTGCTCGACTTGGCTGCCTGAAGACTGCCTGCAGTCCCCGGGGCTGCTCACCTTGTCAAAGACGCGGAAAGCCTCTCGGATCTCCTCCTCGCTGTCCGTGTCCTTCATCTTCCTGGCCATCATGGTCAGGAACTCTGGGAAGTCAATGGTCCCGTTCCCTGGAAGGTACATGAAGGAGGAGGTAATACTCTTTCCAGGGCCCCGGGAGAGACCCTGGCTCACTCAGCACCCCAAGAAAGTCATCACTGTCAGGGGGAGGTGGTGCCCACCATCTGCGTCCACCTCGTTGATCATGTCCTGCAGTTCAGCTTCAGTGGGGTTCTGTCCCAAGGATCTCATCACCGTCCCCAGTTCCTTGGTGGTGATCGTGCCGTCTCCATCCTTGTCGAAGAGGGAGAAGGCCTCCTTGAACTCTAAGGGAGAAAAGGGTCGGATCAGGGTTCGAGAAGCCACAGGGAAACCCCAGTTGACATGACCTGTGTCCTCATCCTTCTCTTACTCAGGACTCAGTGAACAACCTAGCTCTCTACGGATGGGGTTGCTGAGGGGAATGACCCAGGCTGACGGTGCTGGCTGAATCTGCATTGTCTGGGAGAGCTCTCCACATGAGTTCTGCTGCATCTGGGCTCTAGGCTAGGGGACAGGAGAGGTGGTGATAGGCAGGGAGAGGCCAGTTATGGAGACATGAGATCCCAAGGTTGTGTGGAATCCCAGCATTCACTCTGCTGTCAGGTATAGGCCCACCTCAGGACCTCACGGTCTGTGGTTACTGGTGTACGTTTCTGGACATGTTCGAATCCTGCCTCTGGACTGAGAGGACAGGGGAGCCCAGTTGCATCCCTGCCGGCTCCCCAGGGAGGGAGCTGAGTGTCTAGGGTGGTGCAGTGTGGGGGTGTTGTCAGCAGTGGAGCATGGCTGACCGATGGTGCGTGGGGTGGGGGAGTGGGCTGGCCACAGCTGGGGATGCTGTTTGCTGAGAGGGAGAGCAGCGCACGGAGCCTGCCTTCCCACCGGGCTGCTTTGGCACCTGGTACTCGTCTACCCCCAGGCCCTCAGAGAACAGATGCCTGGCAGCCTAGTCCCTGGGGGTGGGGGAGGCGGTGGACAGTTTGCTAATGGGAACAGGGTGAAAGTAAGGGTGTGCGTGTTTGTGTTATCAGGGCAGAGTTGGGGTGTGCATGGCCTGAGGAAATGGGAAGACCCTCCAGGGGATGCTGGCCTGCCCCTATAAGGAAGCCTTGTTGCGCTTGGGGGTGAAGGGTGCAGGGAGTGGGTCACATCAGGATCTTAAAACAAGGCTGCTCTCTGGCCTGCTTTGGTGGGTCTCCATGGCCACCTGGGTGAGAGTGTGGCCTGTGTGCATTTGGGTGGGGGTAGGGAGTGGAGAGAGGGAGCAGGCAAGTCCACTTTTGGCTTCTTCTCGTTACCCATCTAGCCTGGTAACAGAGCCAGGGTCACAAGCACTGTAAGGGCCAGAGCCCATTCTCCATCTTTCCCTGGTCTACTCTGCTGTCTCAGGGAGATCAGCTCAGGGAGAGGGGGACACAGACTAGTTCCCAGAGCTGTGACCTTTCTAGGGTTTGGGAGTGACAAAACCAATTAAATGGGGGGGGGGAGGGAGTCAAGGATTTATGTAGCTTAGTGGGAGATAGACAAAATGATGCTTTATTCATTTGTTTAGCAATGCACATCCAACTATATTTCAGGCACTGAGGAGACAGTGGGTACCAACCCAACCAAGGGCCTGACTGTAGGAACTCACACCTAATGATCTAATGACAGGAGATGCAGTAAGTGTGGACATTAGAAAATAGTATCATAGAGCAAGAGATGCTCTGAAGGAGACCCCCAGAGAGATGCAATGGAGAGAGGCGGAAGTAGGGTGCTGACTTGGGAGAAGGGCTCAGAGAAAGCCCTGCAGAGGTGTCGCTGGAGCAGAGACCTCAGGGCGAACAAGAGCCACAGGCAGTGGGAAAAGTGCAGGGCTAGGGGTGACCAGGCAGCCCCGGGGCGGCTCCTAATGTGGGTTGGGGCCCTCAGCTCTGCAGGGAGGCAGGGGTTTCCAGAGACCTGGTTCCTCCTGCTCTCTATGAGCACACAGGAGCCATGGCCAGGAGAGGACACATCTGTGCTGTCATGGGCAGGCCCACCTGGGGGCCACATGGTTTCAGCACTGCTGCACTTCTCTAACATGTACCAACATGAGGAGCACAGGTTACAGCATCAGGAGATGTAGAGAACCCACAGGTGTGGCACTCGGAAGTCACTCCTAGGGATAAGGGCTGGCTGGGGAAGGGTGAGGGGGCGTGGTCCAGCTGGGCTCACCTGCGATCTGCTCCTCGGTCAGCTGGTCAGCCTGGAAGAGGAAGAAAGACAGAGGTTGTCACAGTGCCGGCCCAGGCCACTCCAGGGGAGGCTGGCTCTCTGTATCTCCCCTAAGTCCTCCATGTACCAGAGGGCAGGGTCTGAGCCTGGTTCTTCAGGACGCGGGACCCTAGGGTAGGCTGGGGCCTGATGAAGCTACCCAGACCCCAAGGCAGAGGCTCCCCCGTGTGGTGTCTGGGTGCTGTGCTGCTGCAGGGAGCCACAGAGCCCTGGTTCCTTGGGGAGCAGTTGTCCTAGAGTCCTGGTCAAGCAGCTCTGTTGTTGTTAGGTGCCATTCTCTTGGTTCCAACTCGTAGTGACTCTGTCTAGGGTTTCCAGGGAGCAGCTGGTGGGTTTGAATCACTAGCCTTGTGGTTTGCAGTCCAGGGCTAACCCTATAGCACCACACCAGGAGGGCAGAGGGGCGATGGCTAGGGCTACCCTTGGTAGCGTCTGTGGAAGCACAGAGTCCAGGCAGTGTAGACCCCTTCAAATGGCAGCGCCTCTGAGCTGTTTCGAAGGCCCAGGAGAAGCCTGAGCAAGCTGTCTGCTCTGGCCTCCCCTGCATTTATACACTGGGATAGGTGCAGCACACCATTTGCCTTGGTTTCTTTTGGGCAAGGGGGACACATGTCAGGGAGGAGACCATAGTAGGCAGCAGCAGACTGTGGTGGCAAAGGCAGGAGTGCTGAAGTCTGCATCCCCAACATGCTGCAGTGATTAACCCTTTTCTGTCCTGGCCATGCCTGTGGCCGACGCTCTCCTGCGTGCTGGGATGTGGGGTGGGGTGGAGGAGAGGAAAAGCCCTGCTTTCCGGCGCTGCTGTGCTGGGAAGGGCCATAGAGAAGCCTCCTCATAGATGAGGAACCAGATCCCAACAGTTCGCTTTCAGCTGCTAAAGGAAGAATTGTCTTTGGTGTTTGTGAATGCTGCCAAGAGAGCGCCACCCCCCTGGAACGGTGGGTTCAGATGCTGTTTCCCTTTCCGATTAGGGGAGAGGGCCTCCAACTTCTACGGGAGGGTTCTTGCGTTAGAGAGCTCAGACTGGAGGCAAACTATGATGTGTATCTTTGGATTATGCTAAACCTAGGTGCCAGCAGAGGCCGCAACAACCCCATCCTGCTCTTGCCCCGAATAATCAAGAAACAGTGGTTTTGTCTCATTTCTCTCCCAAAGGGAAAAAGAACTTGGACCGAGGCCCAAACAGGCAGACTGGGAGGGGACATCAAAGTGACAATGACAGAGGGAGGGGGAAGAAGGTTGAGAAACAAAAATGCCACACGTGCATGTTCTGGAAAAGTCTAAAGGGGAGATTAGGGGGCCAAATGGAGACTCCAAAGCATTGCCTTCTAGACCCAGCAGGTGGCGGGGCTTCGTACTGTTGGTTTGTAGCCCCCGCCTGGGAGGGAGCTTCTTGTCCACTGGATCCCAGGGGTCCTGATACGCACACCCAGGGAAGTGAGATGAGAGATTAGGCTCCTGGTTATCCAGACTGGGGGCAACAGCAGGGGTGGCAAGCAGAAGAAGAGAAGTGAGAATGGATACCAGGGAGAAGGGCTCATTCCATCTGCTTCCCAGCCTCCTCCCATGGCCTCCAATGGAAAGAGCTGGCCCCGGTGGGACCCTTCTCATTTCCTCTGCACAGAAACAAGGGGTCTCGTTTGCTTCCATCTTTGGGCCACACTAGCTAGGGTGTGAAGGCTGGAAAGGCTCTGCAGACAAGGCCCTGCCACGTTCAAGTCCAGGGCTGCTGCAAACAGGCGTGGCTCTGACTGTGGGGACTGCCAGTGCTGTCTCATGTTCCAGAGACCCTTGTCCTTTGCATGGTAATGGAACAGTCCCAGCTCTGGGGCCCAGACCTCCATACCCAGCTGCTGCCTGGAACACTCAGATGACCGGAGAAGTCGCCATCCCTAACTGGGAGAACCCACTTTTCTCAGGGCGTCTTCCCTTGCCAGACCCAAAGACTTTAAGCTTTCATCCCCCAAACAGCCTTCCAAACCACCCCGTTGGTTTCCTGCTGCCTTCTCCTTCCTCTTAGGCTCCAACATGGGGCTGGAACAGGAAAAAAAAAATCTTGGGGTGGGGGAGGGAAGACGGTATGACTTCTCTGCCTTGCCTTGGCCCCCAGTCACTGCCAGCGTACAGTGTTAGATGAGACCAGAAACCAAGGCCAGGGCCCCTCACCCCGGCCGAGGAGGAGTCTCAGAAAGCCGGCCCAAGTCCAAGGCCAGCCACCAGGGCTCTGTCCCACCCACACCTTGCTGACCACACATGGAAAGAACAACTAGCCAGGGTCCAAACTTAGGGCTGCTTTTGGGGGTGGGGGCCTCTTGGTGTGTGTCACTGTGCTCTGCCCCCGCCTCCTCCGCAATGTGGTTCTGCTGGGGGTGGGGGGTATGGGGTAACAGCAAGGAGGCATCAGGTGTGTGTCAGCAAGTCTGAGATCTGATACACAGCAGTGGCTGTCTGTCCCCTGGCCTTACCAGGCACCATGGCGGGCTGCGATCTGAGGCTGCTGAGCCTGTGGGGGCTGTGGGCGGCAGGGAGTAGGCAAGAACCAGTCTTCCCCCTTGCTCTCAAAGACCTGGTTGATTGAGATCAACACAGGCACTTAGGGAGGGGGCCTCCCAGAACAGAACAAGTGGCCCTTGGGCCAATGACAGGGTTCCCTCAGGTCGTCTGGGGCTCAGTGCTGCAACTCCTGCCCCTAGGGCACGTGGAACAGGTTTGCGACTGTCACCGACGCCACACTGCACTGCACTGTTATTTGGCACAAGCATGGAGCTGCAGAGCAGCGGCCAGGCGCTGGGGACCTGGAGAAACTCAGCATTCCTGTTCTAGAAAGGGCAGAGGGGGGATGAGGCTCCCGGTCTCCAAAAAGCCTGCTCAGTTGAAGCACCCTAAACTTTGATCCCCCACCTGCATTTCATGCGGATTCAGTGCGCAATAGGGGCCTGAACAGCTCCGCCCACCTGCTCCCACGGAGCGGGGTGGGGGTGGGGTTCCAGCCCAACCCTTTCCTTCTAGGGAAGCCCTGGGGGGGCGGGAAGGACAGAACAGCACTCCTTTGGGGTCTCTGAAGCCCACTCTTCCCTCCTCCAGAATGAACAGTCTTTGTCCCAGTCTTTCCTATATACTTCCAGGAGCTACCCACAGCCACCTCCAAACTTAGTCCCACCATTCATTTTTCTTCTCTTCCTACTCCGATGTCCCCACCCCCACCCCACAGCCCGGTCCCACCCCGCCTTCCACAGCCCCAGCAAACGTGTTTCCCCACCCCTCACCTTGGAAACCACCTCCTCATGGGCTCAAACACGACACTCCTCCTACTCCACCCCCCAAATAAAAGACCCCTACTTTCCTGGTGCAACAGTCCTACTCCACTAGAAACCTTAGAACCATCTCTAGCTGCACCCCCAAATCAACCGCTGGATCCTCTGCCCCCTTACTGCTGGCAAGACCAGTCTCCACGCCTCCCAGTTAGCCACCTCCACAACCCAGATCATCCCCAGCCCTGCAGGCTTCCAGAGCATCTTCCAGACCCTCCACTGCCACCCACCGGGATCTTCCTCCTCCTATGTTGGGCTGGGCTTTGGGGAGCCCTTTCGATTGCCCCTTGAGGATCTAACCTGCAGAAGTGACCCCCCTCGGCATCCTGATCGCCCCTGATCCCTTCCTCTATGCCCCCTAAGAGCGGCGTGGCCACCCCTCCCCACCCAGGCCCAGCAGCCCGGCTGCCCAGGGTCCCTGCATCCTCTGGCTCAAAAGCCCATGTTTCTTGTCTCGTCCCCACTAGGTTCCATACACCCCACATCAAACGTCCCATCTTGGGCTCCAAAAACCTTTTCCGGGTCTAGATACCCCTTCTGAAGGACCGCATACTCCCACCAAAGCTCAAATGCCCCCCTCTGGTGCTCAAAATCGCTTCTGGAAGCACCAAAGCCCTCATTTGGGAATCAAGACATCCCACTCTGGGTTCAAACGTTCCGATCGGGGTGCAGAGCGTCCAGTTAGGGCTCAAACGCCCCCTTTGGCGGGGGATCCCTGAGGCTCGTAGGGCCCAAACGACTCCCATTCGGGGCCCCCTCCACTCCGGTGGCCCCTCAGTCGCACTTACCATGGCGAGGCCTGGGTGTCCGGTGCACAGGGATCAAGGCTCCTCTGGCGGCAGCAGCAGCTGCAGCAGCTAGAGCTCCGCTGCGCGTCCGCGCCTCCACACACACACACACACCGCCCGCAGCGCGCGCCGCCGCCGCCGCTGCCCGCCCCAACGGTCCCCCAACGGCCGCTGCGCGCGCCCCGCCTCACCCGGCCCCGCCCCGCCCGGCTCGCGTGCCGTCGCACCGAGGCCTCCACGGATCCCTCCGCTCCGGCTCTCACAGGGCTGAATTGACCGCCGGCCGCGGGCACGCGCGCTCCCTACGAGGGACTACTTTGTCACCGCGTGCCCCGCCCCCTGTTCCCGCACCATTTTTCTGCTCGGCGGAGGGGCATCTCTCGGCGATGCGTGACGCGTCCCAGTGTCAGCCGCGTCGCTATTGGGCCTGGGTCATGGGGGAAATGAGAGCACGGCATCGATTGGTCCGGCCTTCCCTGCAATGCGTCAAACTGGGGTGAGCCACTAAGTGGTGGTGGTGGGGAAACCCGAGATAGATGGATGCTTGGAACTGTGAAACGTAATGAGGCGAAAGGGGAAATTGTGTGGCTGTTATAGAAGCAAAGATACCAAACTGATAGCTCGGGAGTGGTAAAAGTGCTGGCGAGAGATACAGAAGGACTGTCTCACTTCTCCCTTGTAATAGATGATAGGTGGTTCCATCCAAAATGCTGGGGTCTGAAGCCCCGCCCCCGACTGGGCCCTGCCAAGCGTCGAGGGTCTCCAGTCTCTTAAAGGATCCGCCCCTTGAGTGGATCTCTGCAATTAAGACACTGTATACGTGTGTGCGGATTCTGTATCCCAGCTCCACTCATGATCGATTCAGAATCTGAAATTGGGGCCGTCCCAGCATAACTTCTGTAAACTTGAACTTTAATTCATTCTTTCATTCAATAAGAAAGAATTGGGTGCCTGCTGCACGAAGGTGCCTGTGGTTGGTTGGGTTGGGAAGACCATACTTCCCAACCATTCTTTCATTTCTCGACCACCAACTCTCAACACTTGCTCCAAGGTTCCTACCACAGGAGGAAAAGGTTGGGAAGGCTGTTAAGTGCCAAGGAGTCGGATCTGAGTCAAGTTGCTGTTAGTGCCAACAAGTCAGTTCCCACTCAGTGACTCTGTACAGGGTTTCAAGGAGCGGCTGGTGAGTTTGAACTGCCGACCTTGTGGTCCAGTGCTTATCTTACAGAGCCACACCGGGACTCCCATATGATTCAGTGTCCCTGTGTAGGGTTTCCGAGGAGCAACTGGTGGATTTGAATTGCCCATCTTGTGGTTAGCAGTCCAGTGCTTATCTTACAGTGCTGCACCAGGAAGGTTAACTGAATATATTAACTGGAACTCATGCTAATACCCGCCCTGTCTTGTTCTGACTTGTGGCCTCCCTTTAGTTGTCAGAGCAGAACTGTGCTCCATAGGTTGTTGGTTTGTGTGTGTGTGTCTGTAAAATTATGCATAACACATATAACACATTTGACAATTTACTGTTTTTCCTGTGTACAAATAAGAGTCCTGGTGTGGTGCTGTGGGTTAATGTGCTAGACTGCAAAGCTGTTTGAACTTCATGGTCAGTGGTTCAAGCTCACCAGCGGCTCCTCGGAAACCCTATACAGGGTAGCAATGGGTCGGAACTGACTCGACGGCACTTCATAACAACAACGTGTGTACAAATGGTTGTTGTGAGGTGCTGTTGAGCCGGTTCCGACAAATAGCCACTTTGTGCACAACAGAACCAAACACTGCCTAGTCCTGCACCATTCTCACAATTATTGTTAATGGGGATCTTCCTCTTTTTTGCTGATCCTTCACTGTACCAAGCATAACATCCTTCTCCAGGGACTGGTCCCTCCTGATAATATGTCCGAACTATGAGAGATGAATCAGTGTACAAATTAGTGATGTCAATTTCATTAATCATGCTGTGTAACTGTCATCATACATAAGGTTTTCAATGGCTGATTTTTATTGGAGCAGATTGCCAGACCTTTCTCTGACGTGCCTCTGGATGGCCTGGAACTACCAACCTTTCTGTTAGTTGCTGAGCACTTGAATAGTTTGTACTGCGCAGAGACCTCAACAGTAGCTGCCCTTCTCTTATATGCACCGCCCCCAATACAGTGATTGGCTGAGGGAAGGGCATGTGAGCCAAGCTTGGCAAATCATTATGCCCCACCCCCTGGACACAGTGATTGGTTGAGACATACGCCGAGTCCAAAAGAATTATTCCCTGGGTTTTTTGATGTGGAGGAGGCTACAAGAAGGCCTTTCCTCTTGTTGTTAAGTACCGTGGAGTCCGTTCCGGCTCATAGTGACCCTGCACAGGGTTTCCGAGGCTGTAAATCTTTACAGGAGCAGGACGCCTCGTCTTTCTCCCGCGGAACCTCTGGTAGTTTCGAACTGCTGACCTTGAGGTTAGCAGCCCGATTCCTAACCGCTACGCTACCAGAGCTCCTTTTTTCGTTTTGAGTGTTGAACATGCATAGGTCTTTCTGTTCTGAGAGAATATCCCTTTTTCTACTCCCTTCCTCCTTCCCTTCTTAACTCATGAAAGAAGCTGTTTAGAGGAGAAGGGAATAGAACGGACACAAGGCAGAAGTAAAGGACAAGAGAGAGAAATTAAGACACCATTCATTCTTTTGGCATTCATTTCCCTGGATCCAATATTCTTAAGATCAGCTGCACTCTGTCCTGCCAGAATTTTGATTACATGAGCCATTAAATGTTCCCTTCCATTCCGAGCAGGTTTGAGTTGAATTTCTGTCGCTTGCGTTCAAAGGATTCCTCTGCCTGGAATAAGGAAGGTCAAGGATTCAGTCAGTATTTGTTGAACAAATGATAAAAAGGAAGAATACATACTCTTTCCCTTCTCTGTCTTTGATTCTCAATTACTCTCATGCCGATCTTAGTTTCTGATTTATTTAAGGCTGTGAAATAATACAGATAATATAAGCTAATATTTCTGAACACTTACTCTGCTAGACATGGTTCTAAACACTTTACATGTATAACGAATTTAATTGTCACTATCTTCCTATGAGTTTACTATCTCCATTTTTCAGCTCATGAAATGTTTTACTGCTACTGGTATTAGATGAGACCAGAGAAGTAGGAAGGTATGATCAAACAGAGGTGAAGTAACTTGCCCAAGGTCACATAGTAGTTTTGACTGCAGACCTCATACTCTTACTCATTGCACTGCCCTGCTGTGGTTGTTAGGTGTGGCTAACTCTATTCCAACTCATAGCAACTCCATGTGACAGAGTAGAACTGTCCCATAAGGTTTCCTAGTATGTTGTCCTAGGATGACTTTTAAAAATATATATTTTATTGTGAATTA